TACAGTGGCTCATTATATTATTTTGATCTTCTTTTAATACTTCCTGGATCATTTATATTCTTCCTAAAGCATCCTTGATTATAGCAATTCAAGGTTTGAATTTGTTCTTCAGTTCCTTTAGCTTAAGAAATGCTGAAGGAGTTCGGCCATTTTGATTTTCCGTTTCCAGCTCCTTGCACAGTTCATTGTAATATTGCGCTTTGTCATTCCATGATGCCTTTTGGAATCTTCTGTTCAGCTCTTTAGTATCTTGAATTCTTCCTTGTGCTTTGGCTTCTCTGCACTCCAGTGCAATCTTCAGAGTTTCTTCATACATCCATTTTGGTCTTTTTTTCCTCTTATGTTTGTAATGACCGTTTGCACTCTTCCTGAATGATACATTTGACATCTTCCCACAACTCATCTGGTCTTCACTCATTAGTGTTCAAGGCCTCAAACTTGTTCCTGAGATGATTCTGAAATTCAGGTGGGATGAACTCAAATTCATATTTTGGTTCCCGTGGATTCGGTTTAATTTTCCACAGCTTCAACTTGAACTTGCATATGATTAGTTGGTGGTCTGTTCCACAAGCAGCTCCTGGCCTAGTTTTCACAGCTGATATTGAGCTTCCCCGGTGTTTTTTTCCTGCAGATGTAATAGATCTGATTCCTATGCATACCATCAGGTGAAATTCATGTGTATATGTTTCTTATAAAACGTATTTGTTATGAATAAGTCATTGATTGTGCAAAATTCAATCATTCTATCTCGAACTCCATTTCTATCACCAAGTCCATGTTTTCCAACTACTGATTCTTCTTTTCTGTTCCCAACGTTTCCATTCCAGTCACCCATTATTATCAATGCATCTTGATTGCATGTTCGCTCGATCTCCGACTGTAAAAGTTGGTAGAAATCATTTATTTCTTCTTCTTTGGCTCTGGTTGTTGGTGCACATATCTGAATGATAGTGGTATTCTAGATAGAAAATATTTAAAATTTATTTAAGGAAAAATTATTTTCCCAAAGAGTAAAACTGTGCCTTGAATGATCAATGTGTCAGCTCTTGAGCTTTGAGTTGACTGTCTATTTGGAGATAGATGAGAAGTTTACCTGTTTATATTCTAAATATTTCATAGGTGAGTATAGTTTTAGGAAGAAGAGTTCACAACGATATTATAAAGATCCATCATGATGGATGGAGAGGAGATTGTAACTGTCAACAACTTCAACTTGCTTGGATCTACAGTTAACATCCTTGGTACTAGCAGTCTGGTAATAAGGGAAAATCTGCAGTTCAGGACTTTTCCAAATTATTGAGGAATAATGATGTCAGTTTGAAGACTAAGGTGCATTTGATTCAGGCCATAGTCTTTCTGATTACTAGCTCTGCATCTGAGAGCTGGACAATGAATAAGGATGACAGAAAAAGAATTGATGCCTTTGAGCTGTGATGTTGGAGAAGAACACTGAACATCCCATGAATGGCCAAGAGAACAAACAGATACGACTTGGAGAGGGTGTAGATGGAGTGTTCTTTGGAGGCAAGAATAATGAGGCTTCCCTTCATGTACTTTGGGCATGTTGCTAGGAGGGGCTATTCCTTGGAGAAAGACATGATGCCGGGAAGGGTGGAGAGTTGGCAAAGGAGAGGAAGACCCACAACCAGGTGGATTGAAATGATGATTGCTGCAATGGGCTCTGTGTGTCAGGAAGGTGAAGATGGTGCAGGATAGAATAGGGTTTAGATTTTTTTGTTCTTAGAGTCGCTATGAACCATACTTGACTGGCTGGCACCTCACAACTAGTAACAATTATTAAGCTAGAATCATAGTAAGCCTTAGTTTTAATTCTAAACTCTCAGTTTTAAGTAAAACTTGACCAAATTCTAGGTGTCAAGTATGTCTAAAATATACACAAAGAAATCTGGATTAAGTTTTGTATTGTTCATTGGAGAAATATAATTCACATTATTTGAAGTTTGATATACTTTTTTGTCTGCACAAATACATAAGTTGGTTATACAATGAAATGTGTGGGAGCTGGACCTTGGTAGAGCTGCCTGTCATTCCCGGTTTCCTAAGTTCCTAGATAGGCTGCAGTCTTTCTAGGTTTTTTATCAAGTATTTTAATGGAAGATACTTGAATTTTCCTTTTCTAATATGTTTTGATCTTCCAGATTCTGTCTATAGGGTACATTTCCTCAACAAAAGTTATTGGAAATCAAATTGAAAACAATAACTTCTAAGTAACAACAATCTCTAGTTTTTTCAAGAAACTGTTTATTTTATACTGGTTTACCTACAAAGTTAGTATACATTGGTTTTTCAGACTAGGTCTTTACCATTTCCTTTACCCGCCCCTCCCTTTACTCAACGTGTTGTATGACCCTGTGATTACCCTCCCTGCCTTCATTCCTCTGCTAGTCCCTACCCCACTTTGGATCCTCATACATGTTTTACCAGTTATCTTTCTATTTCTAAAATAATGGTCTTATACAGTATTTGTTCTTATGGGACTGAGTTAGTTCACTCAACGTAATGCTCTCCAGTCTCTCCCGAGTTAGATAGTGAGTTTCAAAATCATTGTTTCTGCATGCTGCATTGTATTCCATCATGTGAATGTACCATACTTTCTCAATCCATTCAATTGTGGTTGAACATTTGCTCCATTTCCAATGTTCTTGTGATGATGACTAACTCTGCTATGAACATTCGTGTATGACAATCTCTATTAGTATTTTAACTTTATTTTGCTTTTAATAGTTTCTTATATTTTCCTCCAATTTAATTACCAATATTAGGAAGTTATAAAATGGCAGACGCATAACTAGCGGAGGCACTGTAAATTCAAAGCATAGTAGTCATTGAGAGTAAAGTTAGCCAGTAATGGCCAGAGTTTCTATTTTTTCTAGACTCTAGGGGAAAAAAAATCACCTAAATGACTTTTGTTCCCTATTTAGTGCATCCTTTGTACTTGATCATCATTTATTTTGATATTGCCTCCTATTTGAACAATATGCTAGGAAGAATCTTAACTATGTACTACTGTAGCTAATGTTCTCTGTTTCTCATTTTTTGCCCCCACGACTTCATTAAAACAAACAGAAAATAAGAATTAATAGAAACTTCATGGTAAAGGGCAAATCAGAATTGCTGTTTTCATAGCTCAGCCCTAATTACTTTAGAGCTGTCTCTTGACATTCACATTGTATTGACAGGTACAATTAAAGAAAGCATTAGTTTGCAAGGAAGCTCTGGCGGCATAGTTTATAGGAAGTGTCATGATTAACTTGAAGACCGTGCCCCTTTGGTGATCTAAATCTACTAGTGTTTCTGAAGGAGAAACCTGGGCAATCTCCTCCTGTGCACTTGATAGTGATAAGTTTCGTTGAAATGATCTATAAAGATTTACATCACTTCTTGGAGTCTTCCTTCAATCAATTAAATATTAACATTGAAATATGAGTAAGAGAGCCTATAAAGAGAAAGTGTGACATACTAAATAGATCAGGAAGATGGTTTTTCTTTCCATTAATTGAAAAGTTAACTGGAGTACCTTCCCTGTCTCACTGGTTCTTTTCTTTTTTTCTTTTTTTAAATAGACTACAACTTGTTCCTTGTTGCTGCCCATGAAATTGGCCACTCCCTAGGTCTGCAGCACTCCACCGACCCAGGGGCACTCATGTATCCCCGCTATACCTACATTAGCAAAAATGAGTTTCTGCTTCCTTATGATGATGTTCAAGGGATCCAGTCTCTCTATGGTAACTTAGTTTATCAATTTAAGAGATGTACAGATACTCATGTCTATATTCTAAGTTACAGGTGAATTTATTTTCATAGTTTTGATACTTAGATTAATTTTTTTCTAAGTCAAAACACTTACCTATTCAAGTAGAAAGTATTCCATTTAAAAAGAGTTTTGCACAATACCATTGCTTTTACTTGTATTTCTTATATTGCTGCTAACTCAAATGGCTGGGTTTTTCACCAGTTTGAATTCACCAGTGGCTCTTAGGAAGAAAGCCCACACTCCCCTTCAAATTTGTTTAACTGCCTCAGAAACCCAATGGAGGGTCGCAAGTACTTTTGATACTTCGAAACACCTCTGAGATAAGAAAGAAAATTATTTTACTCACCATTTAATCCATGAGGAAATTAAGCCTAGAAATATTTAAATAGTATTTCTCTAATCACATAACAAATTTCACTGAGTGGTTCAAATGGTTTAACACTGGACTACTAGCCTAAAAGCTGATAATTCAAATCCATCCAATGGGATCTGGTGACCTAATAGTAAGAAATTACATTACAATCCAAAAGGCACACAGTTCAAAACCACCAGCTGCTCCACAGGAGAAGGATGGGCAATCTCCTCCCGTGTGATGGATTGTCTCTGAAAACCCATTGGAGGGTCAGCTAAGGGTCAGTTTCTACTAAAACAACAGATCTACCCATAGGTACCCCAGAAGAGAGAGCTGATGATCTCTTTCAGAAATGGCAAAACCAAGAAACCATTATGAACTGCAGTTATATGTACCCCATTCTAGAACATGACATGTGTGACAAGGCCTAGAATTGAGTTAATAAAAATAGATTTTTTACAAAATTCATGAGATCCTAAGTAGTTTTAAGACATTCTAAGTATTTTCTCAAACATTCCATTTGGCTACAGTAGAAACTGCTCAAATTATCTGTGGCAATTTTTAGCCAACATCTATAATGACTGTTGGTGTATTTTGTTTTTTTTTCCCTCTGAATTTTCAATAACACTTAAGAAATATAGCCTCAGCTCAAACAAGGAAGTGTGTTTCCCATAAACAGAGTTGAAGCTATAATGCATGGTTGAAGCTACAGTAAACTCTATAGATGTAAAAACTGCTGGAACAGAGCTCAGAAAGTATACTTCTGCCACTTCAGTTATCCATACAGAAACTAGTATAGGTGCTTATATTTATTTACTGGTTACAGAGGGAATTTGATGATTTAATATACAATTTTTGTTCTTTCTACAATGTTTTGATCAAGGAACCAATATGGACTAGATAGGGAACTATTATAAATGACATAGAGAATACATATGAACTAGATGAAAAAAATAAATATGTTCTATTTCGTAACTCCATTTTTACTATTAAAAAAGTACTAATTTATTTACAAAATTGAATACATTGATTTCAAGAACAGATTCTTTCAATTTCTCTCACCCTCCCACTCATCTTTACTTTTTAAGCTGGTAGAAAGTTAAAAGCATGTAATGTGTCAGTTTCAGAAAGTCTGGTTTATGACTGCAGTGCAGGGCATTGTAGCAAACTGATGAAGTATTGTCAGCCAATATTTGCATCTAGTAAGGTAATTAAGAGAAAGGGCAGAGATGAAAGCTCCTCTGGGTTGAGGAGACTTCAGAAATGACTAGGAAGATAAACAACATCTTATGAACAAGTTCTGTAGAATATGGAAAAAGGTTTTATCAACATCTTTTACTTTTGTCCTCTATTCTGCCATAAACTTCCAAAATTCAAGTTTGTAGTTAAGATGAATCTCAAGGAGTTTTAAAGACATCTCCACTGTAAGACCTTGGTAACCCTTGATGAAGGATGCAGGTACCATTAAGTAGGAGCCTCAAGTCTTACTTTTTCTCTGCAGAGAACCTTTTCCTGCTCTCTTTAGTAGAATCTGTCTGATATGCTGAGATCACATTATCAGCAACTTCTTTTAATTTTTTCACTGCTTTAGGTCCAGGAAACGATCCCAACCCTAACCATCCTAAAACACCTAACAACTGTGATCCTTCCTTATCACTTGATGCCATTACAACTCTCCGTGGAGAAATGATGATCTTTAAAGACAGGTACACTTGGGGTTTTTTCCAAACACTTGAATGTGATGGACATTGTAAAGTGCCTACAAATTGTCAAAACATTCCACCAAACTGCTGAAGATGATCTTAGCAATAAAAAGGATAGAATATTGAGCAATTAATTTCTATATTTAGATAAAAAGTGAAGGATTACTTTCTGTTTCAGGGGATAATCTTGGCAATGTGCCCCTTCTTTTCACATCTTTGCTTGCAAATATCTTTCCAAGAAATAATCAATTAACTCTAGAAACTCAAATTAAGAGACAGATAAATATTATAATTAATTACCAAATTGTAAAGTCTTTCTCACAACGCCACCTTAACTTCTATTGCTATGGAAAATCTTGCTTCTGAATACATATGTAAGAATTTGGGAGGAGGATGCATTTGTAAACTTGGAACTGTAAGTACTGAAAAGGAAATAGTTTATTTCTACATTTTTGGGATACATTCTTTCATTCATTTATTCATGAAGTACTTACCTTCTGATACGTGATGTGATAGCATTCTCATCTTTTATAATATAGTTCTAAATACTTTGCACTCCTGTGGTACAAGGAACACTGCCAGTTTCTCTAAGCCATGAAGAATATTCTAACAATGCACTTTTAAAAAAATGAATCAGGGAAAGAATCATTTCTGTAATTCCTATTTTATTTCCAGACCCAACACAGCTCTGGAACGGTAAACTTGCTTGCCACTTGCAAGACAGACAAAAATGAAAAAAGCATAGTTTCAACCCTCAAAGGACTTAGAAACTTCACAAAGACTCTCTGTGATGCTTTAAGCATTACTGTCTTAGTCTAGAATTAGAATAGTAACAACTTGTAACTGCCACTTAAAGGCAGTGGATCCTTTTTTCTCTTTACAGATTATAGGACTCTTCCTTATCCTCCCTCAATCCAACAATCCGCAATGATGTGTAGATTGATAGAGAGGTAGAAATAGCCACCTAAAAATATGTGGGTTGGGTTTTTTGTTTGTTTTAACTCTTAAGCTTTGTATTCTACTTTTGGTTAGATTCTTCTGGCGCCTGCATCCTCAGCTGATTGAGCCGGAGCTCCATTTAATAAAATCATTTTGGCCAGAAATTCCCAATTATATTGATGCTGCATATGAGAATCCTTATAATGACGTGATCTACATCTTTAAAGGTAAGCTTTTCACAGGTGAGGCTTCTCATATCTCCAGGTTGGCAGTGGAGAACTTAATGTTGCCAGAGCATTAATACATGAGTACTAAAAATATATCAAGATTAAGAAAAAAGGATAACAAAGAGAAAAACCAGAAGGTGCATGAAACTATTCTACCAAATGTCCTTATATCTAATGTGTAAAAATTCTATATTATTACCCATCATAATCACTTTGTTTCGTGTAAACCATGCGATTTTTTCCCTTAGTTCCTTTCAGATTGTTTATCATACACTATAGCAATGCACATTTTGCAAAATTAAAATAGTTAGCCTTAATTCTACTCTTCTAAAGAAGAAATATTGGAGTTTTCCCCCCCTCTAGCCCTTCAACTTATATAATACATATTTTTACATAGTAATATTTATAGTTTTGTTGTTTGCTTGGCTCCACAGTCAACACTCTTGGCACCAGTAGCCAGGAAATTAAAAGGTGCATTGCCATGGGAAAGTCTGCTGTTAGGGACCTCTTCAAAGTACTGAAGAGCAATGGTGTCTCTCTGGAGACTAAGGTGAGTTTGATACAGGCCATGGTCTTCACAATCACTTGTTACGCATCAGAGAGTTGGACAATGACCAAAGAGGACAGAAGGAGAATTGATGCCTTTGAGCTGTGGTGCTGGAGAAGAGTATTGAAAATACCATGGACTGCTAGGAAAACAAACAGATTCGTTCTGGAAAGGGTTAAACCAGGTGGCTCCTTGGAGGCAAGGATTCTGAGGCTCTGTCTAACATACTTTGGACATGTTGTGAGGAGAGACCGTCCATGAAGAAGGACATCATGCTTGGGAAGGTGGAGGAATGGCGCAGGAGGGGAAGGCCCTCTATGAGGTGGATTGATTCAGTGACTGAGTTAATCGGGATGGGAGTGTCGGAGACAGTGCGATTGGCACAGGACAGAGCAGAGTTTAGGGCTGTTGTACATAGGGTTGCTATGAGTCGCAAGCGACTCGACGTCACATAACAACAACAACAACAATATTTATAGTGCAAAAAACACCTTAATTTTTTAATTTTAATTGATATTTCAACAACGTTTATAGAGAACTTGGATTTCCATTCATTCATTGCTGCACAATTCCACCCTACTCCCCTGCCAGTCTATTTTACTATGCCGCTCTTATTCTGGACTATTGTTATGCGAATAATACCTAATCATATATTCCTTTTAAACAGTTCTTTCCCTCGTCTGTTTTAATGCAGTGTACTTTATTTATCTCCTCTTTTTTTAGTTTTTCTCCAACCCCTATGTCAGTGCTATTTTATAACAGTGGTATGATGCAGCATTTATCCTTTTGTGACTTTTCACTCAGCATAATATCCCTCAGGGTCACCCATTTTGCATATTATTTTATGAGTTCCTTGTTTCTCAGTGCTACATAGTATTCAATTATGTGAATGTACCACAGCTTCTCTATCCATTTGTTTGTTGATGGGCACTTTGGTTGTTTTCAATGCAGAAACGGTTTACATTTTACTTGTTTCCCTGACATAAAACATGACAGTCTTTTAAAATAGCTACTCTGTTTTCACAACTATAATTTATAAAGACTATATAACCTACTGCTGATGTTAACTTTTTAAGATTTATTTGTCTATGAATATTAATGCTATAATGAAGTTACTTTTAGAGAAACACATATAATAGATTTTTAACTGGTATAAAATTTTAGTTCTAATCTATTTTAGTGTGTCTAGTATGTATACTATTTAGGGGAGCTTGGGTAGCGTAGTGGTAAGAAACTTCCTTGAAATCTCAAAGACACATGGTTCAAGTCTACCAGCTTCTCCATGGGAGGATGAGCAATTGCCTGCTGTGTGGTTAGTTGCCCCTGAAAACTCTCCAGAGAATCAGTATGGATTGGTTCTGATCTGATGGTATACAACAGCAACAACCATGCTATTTATTCAAGCATACATTTTCATGTTTTAAAATTAGTTACAAATTTAATACAGAGAGATGATAAATTTCCATATTCATTAATATTTGAATGGCTGTACCAATAAGCTTCTAATTCTATCAGTACTTTAAAGAGATTTAACTTCTGCTTGAAGAATGATCATATTTTTATATGTTCCTCAAAAATGATAATCACAAACACTAAATATTTTGTTTCTAAATAGATCAATCTTTCTTTATTTAATACCCACATATATGAACACTAATAGATTATATCAGAGAATAAAAGTATTCTTTCTTTTTTTTTTCAGGAACAAAATTCTGGGCTCTTCATGGTTATGATATTTTGAGAGGTTATCCTAAAAAAATACATGAACTGGGATTTCCAAAAGGGGTTAAGAAAATAACCGCAGCTCTTCACTTTGAAGATAGAGGCAAAACTCTCTTTTTCTCTAAAAACCAAGTCTGGAGGTATGGTAATAATATTTACTGAGCCACATTTTATGTAGGGGCAAAGTTTGTTTCCCCAAACCTTGCATGTATAAATTCTCTGTCACTGCTTTAAGCTATTTTCCTTATACTTTATCCAAAATGTCAAATCAGTCATTTATTTATTTTCCATTTTAATTACTTCACATGGCTTTCTAGACAGGGATTTACTAATATTAAGTTTTCTTTTTATTTCCCCTTTTTCTTTTTTTAAATTTATTATTAATATCAATGAAAATTTAAAGAGACTTTGGGTTTCTATTCATTCATTGTTGCACTTTTCTCCCCTCCCAACCCTCGCCCCTAGTACACTACCCTCTTGGAAAAGTAAAAGAAAAATTCTTTCATTGTTTTATAATCCCTCCTAACAGGTCCACTCCACTATGCTGCCTTCACTCTGGACTCCTGTCATGACAAAAATACCTAATCACATATCCCTTTTAAACAGTTTTCTCCGTTATCTGTTTCATGATTTACATTATTGAACCCATCTTTCTCAGTCTCCTCCCACCCCCGATGTCAGTACTATTTTATAACAGTGGTACCATGCAGTATTTGTCCTTTTGTGACTTAGATACTTCACTCAGCATAATGTCCTCCAGGGTCACCCATTTTGAATAATATTGCATGAGTTCCTTGTTTTGCAGTGCAGCATACTATTCCATTGTGTGAATATACCATAGCTTCTCTATCCATTCGTTTATTGATGGGCACTTACGTGTTTCTAACTCCTTGCTATTGTGAACAAAGCCAAGGTAAACATGGGTGTGCATATATCTGCTTGGATGTCAGTTATGGTCTCTTTGGGGTATATTCCCAGTAGTGGATTTGCTGGGCCAAATGGTATCTCTATTTGCAACTTTTTTGAGAAAGCACCATACCACCTTCCACAGTGGGTTGCACCATTTTACACTCCCACCAACAGGGAATAAGTGTTCTAGTTTCTCCACAACCTCACCAGCATTTGTTGCTTGCTGTTCTGTTAAATTTTGCTATTCTGACTGGGGTGAGATGATATCTCATAGTTGTTTTGATTTGCATTTCTCTTAGAGTTAGGGATTTTGAACATTTCTTCATGTGCTTGTTAACCATCTGAATGTCTTCCTTGGTGAAGTGTCTGTTCATATCCTGTGCCCATTTTCCAATTGGATTATTTACCTTTATCTTGTTGTGATGCTCAATTATTTTATAAATTCTGGATATAAGTTCCTTATCTGATATGTCATTACCAAATACTTTGTACCAGTCTGTGGCTTTCCTTTTTACCCTGTTGGAGAAGTTTTTGATGTGCATAGGGATTTGATTCTTAGGAGACCCCATTCATCTATTTTGGATCTTAAGTTCTGAAAACACATAAGTATAAACAATATCTCTTCTCAGCTGCTGTTTTTATCCTTACTTATTAGCTGTGACTCAACCATGACGAACTATTTCTTTTATTTTGTCACCTTTGTTCTTTCTAATATTGCTCCTGTATTTTCTTTCTTGTCAACCTCTCTTGACTACCGTGTGGCTCCATCTTCTCTGGTCAAAAGAACGTCAAAATAAAGACAGAAAATGACTGATTGACTGGTTCTTTCATTTCTATAGAGTTGGGTGATCATAGACAAGTAATTTGTCAAATTAATCTCATTCTGACGGGCAAATGGAGCCAGAATATTATTATTGTCTAATCCTGAGCCACCCTTATCATCTTCAATGCACTTGGACCCATTACTGTGGTCACTACGTCAATCCATTTCACTGAAGATCTTCTTCTCCTTTGCTGGCCATCTGCATTTCCAAGTATGATAATGTCTCTTTCCTAGGAATAACCTGTCCGTACAATGTGCTCAAAGTATGTGAGATGAAACCTTCCCATTCTTAACTCTAAGGAGCATTCTGGTTGTACCTTCTCCAAGAGGATATAGAAATATCACAAAGATACTGAAAATGTGAAATACCTAACATGAAACTTTATTCCACCTGGACTCACACACACATAACCACCTTTCTGGTTAGCAATTTTTTTATTGCAGTTTTATTTCTTTTTCTTATTGCTAATGATACTAGTTATTATAAACATTACTGTCAGACTATTTTTCTGATCTCTAAACCCTTATATGAACTCAATGGCCTAATCAAATTAGATTGCTTACTATATCTCAAATACTTTGTGCTTTAACTCCCCAAGCTTTCCCTATTACTTGGAAACATCTTTTCCTATATCTCTGCCTTTTAAAATTGTACTAATTGTTTAGACTTTACTTGAAATATCTTTGTATTTGCAAACTTTTGTTGCCTAGAAGATTATTTCTCCCCTCCCCTATATTTCATGTTTCCTCTTTCATGTTATTTAACTTTCATTGTCCGATTTTACAGTTATGTGTATCATGTCTTTGTCTTCTTTGTAGTAATTATTAGTATCTTTTACTTTTTGGAAAACAACTCAAGAATATAAAATACATTCATCACTATGAGCACTGTTCTTTTTGAGTTATTTTAGGAATGTCTTTGGTTGGCCAGTGTGTAGGGCAGTCAGTGGGAGAATATGGAATATTCCCTTTAGCATCACCATACAGCCTCAATAATTTAAGTACAGGAATTAAACCTAAGGAATGTCATATCCATTTATGAATCTAGCAAGCTGCCTTCCATGTAGTGGGTGATCAATAGAAAATTGTTTTAAAAAATGTAAGCCTATTTCACACTGAAAACACTTTTTAAATGCCATCATTTACAATAGGTACCTAATTTATAAAATGGAAAATTAACCTGTACCTAACTTAACAAATATAGTTGTGGGACAAGTCAACAAATAACAACTATACCAAAGCTACATTTGAAAAAAACCAGCTAATTTTGAAAGGTACTATAATACTCACTGTATCATTTCTAAAGATGTTTGTAAGTAAAATAACTTAATCAAGAATTTTTTTTTAATAAATAGCTATGATGAAATCAACCATGTTATGGATAAAGATTATCCCAAACTAATACAAGAGGAATTCCCAGGAATTGGTTCTAAAGTAGATGCTGTCTTCAAGAAAAACGGTAACTAGTTTCATTGCATTGATCTTAACAGAGGGCTTTTTAAACACACACACAAAAGACAGACACCTAGTTATTTCCATTTATTGTCATAAAAACATTGAGTAACTTTTACAGAGAATGTGAGATTTATGCAGAGAGAAGAATAGTACAAACATGCTAAGTGATTTCTGGTACTAATATTAAATTATAGGCTTCATCTAGTTCAAATTCCACTTAATGAACACTAATGTTGGATAGTACACCATGCAATAAAACTACTTTTATTAATTTGACCTTCAGTCCCACCCCTTGTCTCTTGAAAAACTTTGACATAGTGTGTGGTGAGCTGTGAGTGAATCAGATTGATATGTACGAATTAAGGACATTCATTATTCTAAAGTGACTAGTTTTGTTCTTCTTTAAAATTTTTCTTTTATAATGAGTCATTTACAATGTTTGTAGCCCCTCAAATACATTCTCTAATGAAAGATTTCTACATAAAGCATAATGACTATAGCCAGTTTAAGTCTAATTCATACATGATTATTACACAAATAGCAAACAAAACCCAGCATACTCAGAATAAATAAGAATTTGACTTAAAGATTACTAGTTGTTATGAATGAAAGACTGCAATAACTTAAGTATAACTTTGAATTTTGCTTATAGACATTAACCGACAAAGATTATTGACGGAATTCAAATTGGAAATGAAGGGAGGGAGGATTAATTTATGTATCAACTCCTATACCTGGACAATGTGTGACAGAAAGCATTTCTAATGAGTTAAGCAATTTGTAAAGATCTTTGCTATAATAAGAAAGCATCTTGGACACCCCTCAGCAGTGTCCATCCAGGTTGATTAGTTGGCTGCAAGGGGCAGAAAGACATGTAAGAGGAGGCATGTGTGTTCATGTTTACATTTTAATAGTAACCGTTATATATGCGCACATGTCTTATCTGTATTGTAGGAATACACTGTTAAATTTTAATAGAGATCTCATACTATTTTAGAAGCATTATATTCTATTGCTTTATATTTTATTTTAAATTGCACATTAAAGGAATGCAGTATTTTAATTGCAGCTCTGACAATATCTTTAACTAGAGATGTGCATCATTTTTTTTCTTTATGAAATGTTTGTCCTCAAGAATGACTGACTGCTTTTATTTCCTTCCTGATTGAGTCAGTATAGTGTATTCTTGATTATGTCATGGCTTTGAGACTTTGAATTCATAAATATTTGGGATGTATAAAAAGCTGAATTCATATTGCTTGATCTCAACCATGCAAAAACACATGCTTGGTTGTGTGTGTATGTACATAGAGGTAAAAGGACATAAACTAATCGTCAGGATGAGTGTGGGTGACTGTGCTGTGTCTTCTCTGCTTTTCCATTTTCTACCATGTATATGTAATAAAACTTTAAAGAGAAAAAAAGACATTCTTTTAAAAACCTGCGTGAAGTCTCCATTGCTTGTAGAACAAAGTTGGCTGTGCATACTTGGGTTAAAAAAGACCTACACCTATCATAATTACATAATAATTTCCTATGTTATGAAAAGAAACATTATGTCTAGTCAGTAGTAAAATTTACTGAATTTAGTAATTGAAGCGTCAAAACTAGAACTCATGGCACATAGCAATTATTTCTTGGTGAAAATTTAGGGAACAGGGGAACATTTAAATATTTTTTAAACTAAGTACAACTTGAAACATCAAGAAAGATTAAAAAGACAAAGGCTAAAATTCTAAGAAAAACCCAAAGTGGAATTAATCTTAATGCTAGGTAAAATAACTTTATTCTCTTTAAATATTAAAATTTTCTTTGACTTTTTTCCCCAGGTTATATCTACTTTTTCAATGGACCCACGCAATATGAATACAGCAGGTGGAGCAATTATGTCCTTCGTATCTTGCGAACAAACTCTTTAGTGTGGTGTTAAATGTCTTTTCAAAAATTGTTACTTAAATCTCAGGTAGTATTTGAAAAAAATACTTTCAGTGATATTGGGGTTGGAGTTGGGGGACACAGGCAAATATCAGGAGAAAATTTAGTTCTGTGAACAAGCAAGTAAGTTATCTTTGAATATGTTTTATCTATATGGCTCTGTGTGGCTGGAACCACAGTGAAGGATTTTGAAGAAATGACATTTTGTATCTCTAAGGATCAATTAAGAAGTTCTTGTGATGTATCACTTTACATGTTGGACTCCTAACTCTAAGGCTATTGTTAAATGCTGTTGAATCAGAATTGGATCAAAACTGACCATTCAGTGAGGTATTAGAGGCTGAAAAGTACAGAATTTCAATCCATCAACTGCTCAGTGGGAGAAAGGTGCACAATCTCCTCCTTTGATTTGCTGCCTCTGAAAACCTACTGGAGCATTAGCTATGGGTCTATTCTGACATGATGATACATAACAACAACAATGAATGTAAGAAGAAATTTCCCATCTTTCTCTCAAGGAGAAGCTGGTGGATTAGACTCATCTAACTTCGGGTTGACAGTGCCATTTTAAATCCACAGAATCCTCAAGGGAGAAGGATGGTCAGTTTTCCCCTATAAGAATTGACAGCCTTGGTGACTCATGATGACAGTTCACTACGAGTCAGAATAGATTGGAGGGCAGTGGATTTAGGAGTGAATTTTTGGGGAACTATCACCTAATTCTTAAGTGTTTAGAGTAATATTTCCTATACAGAAATGAGATGCACAGTGTATCAAAAGAGTTATGATATTTATTAAATATCATAAGTATTTATAAAGGTACTTTGCAAAGGAGTAAGATAAATCAAGTTTATACATTTAATAAAGATCTTTATGGAAACTATAAAATAGTATGAAAAAGGGATTTTCATAGAATACATGGTAATACATGAAAAAAGATTATAAGGGGACAGGTCTGTAATATATATTACAGACTGATTGCCAAGATAGTTATAATTTGACTTTCTTAACAAGAAGATCTGGGTGATCATGCCCTTTTACACACAGACAGTATAGGAAATTTCCTATCACTGAGGCTAGGAGGCCATGACTCACTGAAGAGGAGGATTGATTTAACCTATGGATTATTTTAATTTTTTCCCTTTACCAATGATTAAATGGTTGTAATAAAATACAAATATTTTGGCATATTTATAGAAGATATTTTTTTGTTAGAATATTTAAAGTAATTAAATTATAAGAAAGTAAAGAACTAAAATGATTGCCAAAATAATCTATGGCTACTTATTAGTTTAAAAGAAAAATAAAGAGAAAAGAGAAAAGTGAACTGGAGGGGAAGGGTGGGCAGGGAGAAAAGTGCAACAATGAATGAATGGAAATCCAAAATCTCTGTAAATGTTAATTAAAATTAATAAAATAAAGTTTAAAAAATCGTTTGGTAACTTAGCATGGAAAGAATTACTTTATTTTGTCTAGACAAGTCTTTTAACTGTCCAATTTGCCTTTAATGTATTGACTATTTTAGAAAGGCTTACATACCAGAGAATGAATCTCATAAGCAGAAATATCTTTGCTTAAGAGAGACATTCAAAATAAAGGAGACAATCTACTAGACTGTGGTCCTTGGAGAATTTTGCCGGCACTTTTCACAGGCCCAGCACTTGGAAGAGAGATCAGAAAATACTTATTGAATGTGTAAATGGTCATTGAAAGAAAGATCATAGAGTGAAAAGATCCTGTTCATAAAAATGTAGGCGAAGAATAAGTTAATAACTTTGGAAATGTATAGTTGTTGTTGTTGTTATGTGCCGTCGAGTCGTTTGCGACTCATAGCGACCCTATGCACAACAGCCCCAAACCCTGCTCTATCCTGCGCCAACCGCACTGCCTCTGACACACCCATCCCGATTACCCCAGTCACCGAATCGATCCATCTCATAGAGGGTCTTCCCCTCCTGCGCCGTCCCTCCACCCTCCCAAGCATGATGTCCCTCTCCAAGGACCTGTCCCTCCTGGCAACATGTCCAAAGTATGTCAGACGAAGCCCCAGAATCCTTGCCTCCAAGGAGTAGCTTGGTTTAATCCTCTCCAAGATGAATCTGTTTGTTTTCCTGGCAGTCCATGGTACATTCAGTACTCTTCTCCAGCGCCACAGCTCAAAAGCATCCACTCTCCTTCTGTCCTCCCTAGTTATTGTCCAACTCTCTGATGCATAACAAGCAATTGCAAATACCATGGCCTGTATCAGGCGCACCTTAGTCTCCAGAGAGACACTGTTGCTCCTGAGTACTTTAGAGAGGTCCCTAACAGCAGACTTTCCCATCGCGATACGCTTTTTGATTTCCTGACTGCTGGTGCCAAGAGTGTTGACTGTGGAGCTGAGCAAACGGAAGCTGTGAACAATCTCAATCTCTTCATCATCCATCCTGACGCTGCCAATTGGACCAGCGGTGAGAATCTTTATCTTCTTGACATTGAGCCTCAGTCCATACTGAAGGCTGCAGAACTTGACCCTTTGCAGCAAGTATATGAGGTCCTCCTGAGTTTCAGCAAGCAGGGTTGTGTCATCTGCATAACGCAGATTGTTAATAGATCTTCCACCAATCCTGTTGCCACAATTCTCCTCAAAGAGCCCATCCTCTCGGATAATCTGCTCTGCAAACATGTTGAAAAGGTATGGAGACAGGATGCATCCCTGGCGCACACTCTTCCCAATTTTGAACCATGCAGTGGTACCCTGCTCTGCTCTGACTACTGCCTCTTGGTCCAAGTATAGGTTTCGCATTAGCACAATTAAATGTTCTGGGATTCCCATTCTTCTCAGAGTCAGCCACAGTTTGTTATGATCCACACAGTCAAATGCCTTTAGGAAGTGTTTATACTGTTTATAATAAAATGATACTTTCAACAGATATTGCTACGATTTTGTCTTGGAGACAGTGGTGTCTCAGGGTGAATTCTTATCTTTTATTTGGGAAACTCGGGTTGGAGACTCAGCCCAAAACACCGCAAACAAAGCCACTACCCATCTGCCAGTGGAGACCTGGGTGTTGCTAGGGCACTCAATGTGTTTCAGCAGAGCTTTCAGACTAAAAGGGACTAGAAAGAAAGGCCTAGATCCTAACTCCAAAAAGTCCTCCAGAAAATCCCATGAATCCCAAGGATCACATCCTAATACATATGGTGTCTCTGGAAGTCACAGACCAATTCAGGGCAGCTAGAAAAATATGCTTACTTTTTCTGCGTAATTGAAATCTTTCTCTACACAAGAGTCCATTTAAAGAATTTCTTTTTCATGACAATATTTCTTGGAATGGATCTCATTCATTGTTTTTCTTTCTTAAGAGAATTTTAAAAAATCAAGACTCATTATTTTTGTACCCAAATATATTTCCCATAATTTTTCCTGCTCAGACTATGATTGCTAACATAGAGGATCATTCAATGTATTGCCCATAGCATCTTTCAACATTACAATTCAGTGTTTAACTTTGTTTTCAATTCTCTCACGTTGGGAAATGTAGAGTTAATTCTCCCCATTTTTATTCACCAATTCCAGCTTTTTTCACGGTCTATTACAACACTTTGTCTACACAAGCTGCCCTTTGAAGTCTTCTGTTCAGCTCTTTACTTCATCATATTTTCCCTTTATTTTGGCTTCTTGACACTCTATTATAGTTTTCAGAGTCTATTATGCCATCATTTAGGCTTTTCTATCTTCTCAGTCTTTGTAATGAAATTCTGCACTCTTCATGGTTGATATCCTTGACATCATACTGCAACTCATTTGGTCTTCGCTAATTGGTGTTCAACACTTCAAATCTATTCTTAAGATGATTTTAAAATCCAGGTGGAATACATACAAGATCATATGTTGGTTTGCATGACCTTGTGTGAACCCTGATTTGTTATTAGAGATACAACATTAAATTGTCAGTTTGTTGTATTTGGGAAATATATTGTTCTAATTAGAATATCTTTTTTTCTGTCAACTTGCTGAACTGAGATTACTTGTGGTTTGTTGTGATGATGACAGATATGCCACCAATGTGCCAAATGCCCTAAGGATCACCCATGGTGGACAGATTTTAGTAGAACTCAAAGATTAAGACAGACTAAGAAGCAAGATTGTTCATCTACTTCTTAAATAGCAGGCCTCTGAAAACCTTATGGACAGTAGAGAAACATGAATAGTTACAGTATTAGAGGTAGAGCCCAAATTAGAAGTCAACTGAAATGAGAAAAAATAGTGGCAAACATCCTTTAATAATTGGAACATGGAATGTACAAAGCATGACTATTTGAAAACTTGAAGTTGTGAAAAATGAAATGAAGCACATGAATATTGACATTCTAGGTATTAGTGAGGTGAAATGGATTGGCTTTGGCCACTTTGAATCAAATAATCATATGGTATACTATGCTGGGAATGAAAGAAGAATGGTATTGCATTCATTGTCAAAAAGTAAATTTCAAGTTACTTGGACTAAGAGGCAGTCATCAGAATAGAGCAAAATTGAGAAGGGTGTACCCCAGGGATGTGTCCTATCTCCAAACCTTTTCAACCTGTATGCAGAGCAGATTATCCGAGAGGATGGGCTCTATGAGGAGAAGTGTGGTGTTAGGATTGGTGGAAGATCTATTAACAATCTGCATTATGCAGGTGACACAACCCTGCTTGCTGAAACTGAGGAGGACCTCATGCACTTACTGCAGAGGGTCAAGGACTGCAGCCTTCAGTATGGACTGAGGCTCAATGTCAAGAAGACAAAGATTCTCACCACTGGACCAATCGGTAGCATCAGGATGAATGGCGAAGAGATTGAGATTGTTCACAGCTTCAGTTTGCTCGGCTCCATGGTCAACACTCTTGGCACCAGTAGCCAGGAAATAAAAAAACGTATTGCGATGGGAAAGTCTGCGGTTAGGAACCTCTCTAAAGTACTCAAGAGCAACGGTGTCTCTCTGGAGACTAAGGTGCACCTGGTACAGGCC